TTTTTTTTTTTTTTTTTTGACTGTATATTTAATTTCCAGTAGTGGTTCCGTACGAGCTGACTGAGACAATAAATTTGTTAGAAAGAAACTCAACAATCCTGTGCTTTATTATTATTATTATTATTAATGTTATTATCATCCTCATTGATTGTTTTCTTGTTTATTATATTCAAAACAAACAGGAAGTGTTGAATGCGTGCAGAGTTGAAGGTAAATGGCGCAAAACCACCTCATTGTGGCGCAGAAAAAAATGCAGACTTGTTTGGAACATCTATAAAAACAAAACAAGAAAAACAGATAAAAAGCAGCGCATTTAGCGACGTTTGCGTCTTTTCTTGCGCATCTTTGTTCGTATATATATTCTGGTCTGTTTTTGGTGTTTGGGGTGAAAATGAGAGGCTATAGAAGTTATATATATTTGATAGCTCATATTGAACTTTTTTCAATAATGTATTTTATTTTTTATTCTTTTGCGTGATAAGGTCACCAAAATTCCCACAAACGTGTCCTCTCGCTGCAGGATTTTGAATTTCGCGGATGGTTTCTCTCTCTCTCTCCCTCTCTCCGCTTTGCACCCCTCCTCCACCGCGACCTCCTCCTCAATTGTCGCTTAGCAACTGAATTCAATGATAAAGAAGGAGCAGGCATCATTTTTCTTTGTCTGCATTTGAAAAAAATGGTGACAAGGTAGATGATTTTTATTATTTTTTTATTTAGGTGTGTTTTCAGTAGCAAACAGGAGCACTTTCAGGGACCCATGAGGAAAAAAAAAAAAAAAAAAAGGTGTAGGTTTGTGTGTGAATAAACTGCAGGTGTTCCGTGACCTCACCTGCGCATCCCATCATTTACGCACTCAAATATATACGCGTGTATTAAAGCACATGGAAACCTCCCAATGTAAAGATTTTCTACTTGAATGGAAAAACACTTTTTGAACTCCCTGATTGGGTTTTAAACCCGCTTCCTCTTTTTTGCAGCTTTCAGCTCCTTTTTTTACGCACAAAGTTTGTTCGCCTCTTAAAGGCTCATAAAACAACGTATAAGAGAATAAATTCAAGGGGAACAATTATTTGTTTTATAGTTGGATTTCAAACCTTAGGCTTTAAACAGATGTTTTTTAAATTTAAAGTTACCCTATGTTATTTTTTTATGCTTTAGTGTCACAGATCTGCATGTTTTCTTAAAATGAGCTATTTTTTTTACGCACCATTAGTTTTTTTATGGGCTTTTTCAAAATAAAACTCCCAATAAAGTCTGTTTATAAGGCCGCACACACCTCAGCTCACCCCTACATGTTTACATTCTCTTTAACAGGTAGATGAAGTTGGAATAAAGTGGATGTTTAGGTTGTCGTTTCTGGGGTGGAAGGATAAAACAATGTAAATACGCGTCATTGCTCCACGTGTCGGAGACGCATGAATATGGATCACACCGCGCTTTTCTCCACAGGGAGTTCCTCCTGCCGCACGTCTAGAATTAAAAATAATAATAATAATAAAATAAAATACAAAAAATAAAAGGTCTTATTTAACTCTAAAGGTTTAAGTTATTTAATTTCGATTTAAAATGTAAATATGTATCAAATTCAAATTATATTGTATATATTTAACCATGTATAATTTAGAAAATATATGTAAATGAAATATTTAATTTTAGTAAATGTTTATTGATTCAATAAATTGAAATATAATATATTTCAACCACTTATTTTGTAATTAAACAGCATTTTTTAAAATAATCATTATTATTATTATTATTAAGGTAACAATTTTTTAATCAGGCAAAATTAAAGTCGATCTAAAAGGCAGTATATCTGATCTAAATCCGTTTGAAAATTGGTTCTGATCATCTGTGAGAGGAAGAGGAAGATTAAGAAGCGACAGTAGGAAAAAAAGGGAAAAATTATGACGCTACTCTGGGGGGGTTTCCTCTATAAATCGTGAAGGTCATGGTTTTGTGAGCAGCGCAGGTGAAGGAGGAGGAGGAGGAGGAAGATGAGGAGGTGGAGGAATGAAGTCTGAATCCAGGCAGCCGCGTTATTAGAGGTGGATGGATGCGCTCTGCGCGTCTGAAGCGCAAAAAATCGGATTATACTTCCTTTATTTATAAGATGCGGCCTTTTTTACAGCAGCTGAAGGATTGTTTTGGTTTTTATTAACAGGTTTAAACCATTTAAAGGGTGATATACATCTGTGTTAATAAAAATGTGTGTTTTGGGGGCGAAATTTAATATATAATAAAAAACTGTTGATTTAAAAAAAAAAACAATAATATTAATACTACCTGTAATGTTTCTGAAATATTATTTCTATTTAATTATTATATTTTTTCTTAATTTTTCTTATATTTATAAAAATTTTTCAAATATCCCTAAAATGCGCACATTTTCTCCAGAAGTTTTTGCACGCCTTTTAACGCGTTAAGACAAATTTCAAGCGAAACTTCTCCAACTAAACTTTCTAAAACTCAAAGTTTTGTGGCAACGATTTTACGCGCAAACACAAAGCAACAGAACTGCCAGGTTTTCTTAAAATAAAAAAATTAAAAAGTTATTTCTTATTGAATTTAGAAGCTCTTATATACATATTTTTTTACACTCTTGAATAAATTTACCAAAATACCTATAGCCTAATTTTTTTGATATATTTCGGTATATAAGTCAGAATCTGGAGGAATTTCATCACTGATGCAAAATCTTTTCTAAAAAAAAAAAAGTTTTAAAAAGAAATCAATTAAATGCTCCTTTAATTGGTTTTTCAACTAACTAATAAAATATAAAAGAACATGAAAACATTTAAACTATCTAAAGACTTTAAATAATCCTATCAAATATTTTCTAAAATTCAACAATAAATACAAAAACGCAATTATTATCATCCAAACACCGAATAAATGAAAATCAGTCTCTGTTTTTGGGGCTTGTTTCCCGCAGCTGCGGCTGCTGTTGTTTTCTTGGCCTTGCAGCGACACCCTGTGGACAGATTCAGTACTGCTGTCATATATATTTTTTTTTTTACAGCTTCAGTCCTAAAAACCTGCCCGGAGCTTCAGGAGTTTTAAACCTTTTTTCTTTTTTTAAACAACGTTCAGAACTTTAAAGGCCAAACAGGTGAGCAACAAACTGGTGAAGATATGCGGTTTTTAAATGTTTTTACAAAACTTTCAAGCAGTTTTTAATCCTACCAAAGAAACTGCTACCGACCAAAATATGCAATGTTTAACCTTTTATTTATCTATATTTTACCTTTTCAAATGTTTAGTGATTTTAATATAATTTCTTTTAATTTACTTAAATTATTTTCTGTTAAAAACACTAATCTTAATAAGTTGGTGTGCATTTTAAAGTAAAACTACGTTATTCTTGCTGAGTTCTGCACTGTGAGAGGAGTTTGAATCATGTGGCTGTTGGTTTACAATGCATTCCAGGGAAAAAGTCCAATGTTAAGTAATTGAACAAACAACTAAAAACTGCATTTGAAAAATTGGAGAACCTTTTTCTTCACTTGAAGTTAAATATTTTAGATTTTTTTTTCCTCCTAATATCTGCATTAAATATGAGGATTGTGCAACAGACAATTTTTGGCGAGGAATATTTTATTCAACAATAAGAATTTAAATCACTTCCAGATTGTGCTGTAAGTTAATGTAGCAATATCGTTGTTCGAACATCGAAATACAGGATTTACTGGTTATTTTTTTGTGGTTAATAGATTAAGATAAAAAAAAAGACAATTTTAACCCATGAAGAAGGATTGAAGCCTATAAATTTAGCTCTGCTTCTGCATTATCTAATGTCATAGAAAAGGATATAGATGAATACTGTCAAGTGGAAAGAAATTATTCTATTATTTCAATATTTTTTTATGAATAAAAATCTGTAAAATTGTTCCCATATATTAGGTCATTAAGTCAGACATTTTTAAAGCAGATTCTGGTCTCTAACATTTTCCTTTTCAGCCTCTAACAGTAAGTCAAAAAAAAAAAAAAAGAAAGTAGTCCTCCAAGAAATGACTCAACTAAGAGTAATAAAACACTTAGTTAAAATTCATACTAACTACTGAGTAACTGTTGGTTCTTAACCTCTGATTTATAACTATATAATTACAAAATAAATACAGGCAGAAGATATACAATCTATGTCAGGATATCTATATAAAGGAGGATAAAGAACTTTCTACTGTTTACTGTCCCAATAGCTCAAGTTATTCATGGTGTATGGAATAACCAGAAATGTAACTTAAGTCAGAGTAACAATATTCTCCTAAGAATGTTAAAAGTACAGTAATACACAACTACTTATTAGAATATTTATTTTTTTCAAAAAGTTACTCAAGTTAATGGAGGTGAGTAAATTTAACTAGTAACCCCCCACCTCTGCTC